CTAGCTGAGAAGTTACCCCTCTCTATGCTACCTCGGTGCCACTCTCTCTTGTGAGAAATGCTGTATTTCTCTCTTCGGTCACAAGGTGGCATTTCATAATTAATTTCTAAATATTCTCCTACAAAGTGATATTAATTTCTTAAAAATAAAATAGCAATAAACATAATTTTCAAAGAACATTATGAAATTAATTCCTAATTCTGCTTTTAAAAATATATAATTATAGAAAAATACTGGCAGGATGTACCCTCAGCTGTATTTGCCAGAGCTCCCAAATTTACATTTCATTTATTGACTCGTTCAACAAATATTCACTGGATGCTTACTGTGTATCAGACTGTGCTAGCCAAAAATCAGTTTATCCACCCCAGACTTTTCTCCTGAGACTCTATATTCAACTGTCTGCAGATACTGGCCACATGAGCTAAGATAAGTGTTATCCAACCATATGGGCATAACCCTGCATGGACACATACTCATCACTCAGCCAGTTTATCCCTTAATCCTGGAGGCTCACCATGTAAAGCCGAGGCAGTATGAAAAAACTGGAAAAGCATAGGTTTAGAGTCAGAAAAAGTTTTGTTGTAATAGACTTTTTTTTTTAATTTCAGAACACTTGTAATTAATCAAAAGGATTCTTAGTAACCTAGGAAGTGGATTAATGATATAAGGTTTCAGATACAAGACATTCCTGTACATCTAGGGTTTAAAGTCAAAGTCTACATTACGCATTTGACAACCACTGATGTAGATGATTTCCAAGGTCTGCTTCCTTCACCACCCCCATCCCCTACCCCTGTTGTTTACTGAGCTCCCACTAAGTCCCTGGCCCTTGGCTAGGCCCTGGGACACAGCAATGAATAAAAGAAATTTCCTGCTTTTACGATGCATCTATTCTTTACACTCTTTAAAAAAAAAAGTGAGGTAAAATTTACATACAGTGAAATGAACAGATCTTAAGTGTATATAATTGTGTGTAAAATAGGACATTTCCATTACTCCAAAAAGATTTCCGTGACTCCAAAAAGTGCCCTGTCCTTTTCCATAGTGTGAATATACAACAATTTGTTTATCTACTCAGATATTTTGAACATTTGCATTGTTTCCATTTTTTGGTCTATTATACATATAGCTGCTATGAATATACTTGTATAAGCTTTTTGCGTATATGTGTTCTTATTTCTCTTGGGTAAATATCTAGGAGTAGAGCTGCTGGGGCAAAGAAAAGGCAACTGATTGTATATGAAATTGCCAACAGTTTTCCAAATTGGTTGTAATATTTTGTACTCAAACAATGTATGAGAATTTCGGTTGCTCCACATTCTCACCAAAATGTCAATGCCACGAAAGAAAGAAGGCGAGATAACTATTCTAAATTAGAAGAGATTAAAAGACATAGCAACTAAATACATTGTTTGAATAAGGATGGTAGATAAGAAAATAGTATTACATCAATGCTAAATTTCCTGAATGCAATCATTGTATTGTGCTTGTTTAGGAGACTGTCCTTATTGTTAAGAGACAAAATGCTGAAGTATTATGATTCTATGATTAGCTTTAAAGTAGTTCAGCAATGAAAAAAGAAAGAAAATATATAGCACGAGAGAGAAAGCAATTGGCAAAATATTAATTGGTGAATCTAATCTAGGTGAAGGGATTAAGAGTATATAGGCATTCATTTTATTATTTTTGAAATACTTTGAAGGTTTGAACTTTTCAAAATAAAAACTTAGTGGTAGGGGGGTGAGGGAAGGCATAAATATCTGGTCAGCCCTCCAGAAGAAAAGGTGGCTAAATGAGAATCTAGAATCAAGATTGACAACTTTGGTTATCGGCAAACATGAGGTGATAGATTATGCAAACAACTTTAGAGGAACATAAAGACGGGGCAGCTGGCTGAACTCTACTTCTGGCAAGAGTTTAAGAAATCATTCCATAGGCCAACTTGTTGGGACAGACCACCACATGTCATCAAGACTTTTCTGTAAAAGTTAAAAAAGCAATATCTACACACCATGGATATGATCAGATTCTTGTGGGAGGAAAAGTGGAGCTTGACAATATCTAAGTATCCAATAAAAGTGGACTGGAAACAACCTTAGGACATTAGACAAAAAGAAGAATGTAGTTTAATAAGAAAACCTGAAGGTAGTGTATCAGATCTTGATATAGAAAGACTTACATGAACTGCTTTGCCAGCAGGGAAAGTATCAAAAAAAAGAGAGTCACAGAGACCAGGGTTGATCCTGTCGCATCCAATCCCTATCCAGTGCAGGAAGAAAACAGTGGTCGGGAGCCCCAGAGCAAGTGAGGAAGGAAATAGCACAATGGTAGGAATGGAGTAATGGGGTGTGAGGATGCAGCAAGGATGGGAGTAAAGCAAAAGAATCCAACATAAGAGTAATGTAATCTGTATTTACACAAGAGCAAAAGGTGAAATTGGATTCAGACTAGAAATATATCAGGACTACAGTATAGTGGTGTACATAAAGTTGCCCTCCAAGAACCACATTTTATACCAATCTTCTAAACACTCCCCAAATGGAGTTCATCTCCAATAACAGCTAAAAACTGGTATGAAAATATATAAAAACGTTCTCTACTTGTCAGGTTCTTTTTGTCTTTGAGAATTCTGTAAAAAGTAGAATGAGGATTTCCCTGTAAAATTGGGACAATCAGAGCATCTGTCAAAGAATGGTTGTGAGGATTAAAGGCAAATATCTAATTAATGCCCCTGGTACATAGTAAGTACTTCATAAATGGTAGTTTTGTAAGCATGATTTACAGCTATTATTGTTCAACTAATAAACATTTTTAATGTGGAGAGGAATCAACACTGCTATTTTTTCAAAGGAGTTATATTGGATTGTTCAGCTCAGTTCAGCAATGTATGAGAGCACGTGGAAGCTTGGTGCCGAAGCCTGCACTGTTAATTAAAAAAATGCATCTATTTGGACTGCTCTATGTGTATGTGTGTGTTGCATATGTATTTTTGGGAACAAACAGGTCAATATGCAACCTGCTGAGGATGTGAGATGGCAGCAAAATCTTTTTCTACTTTAATAGTAGAAACTTTTATTAAGGTGATTAACATAACAATAAAAAATTAAAAGATAAAAAAAGGTCTCTCTCCTTCCTGGTCCCCTTAAAAAATTTCAGGTGTCATTTACATGGAAGTGAATTATAGTTACAATGTTAATGATAAGCCACCCTTAAGTAGGTCATAAACTTAAACTGCTTTTTTTTTTAAACTTAAACTGCTTTTTAAATCCCTTGTGTGTGTGTGTGTGTGTGTGTGTGTTTAAGTATGTTCCATGCCCAACACGGGGCTCAAACTCATGACCTTGAGTTCAAGAGTCACATACTCTACCAACGGAGCCAGCCAGGCATCACTTCTTTCTAAAGTTTCTAAAGTAAAATTTAAAACAACCAATGACCAAGAAGTGAAAAAAAAGAAGTAATGCTAAAGTTGAATCTGGCCTAGTGGAATGTTAAAGATCTTAAAAAACAAACAAACTATTCTCTTCCCAAATGAAAATAGCTTTACTGTATTCATGATTAAACAATTATGCAGAAAAATATTGAGAATTAGCAAAAATCACACTTTAGATCCCTGCCACCTTGCATGACAAAAGCAAGGTGGGCACTGGTGGCTGAGGGGGATGGTAGAGGAGGGTAGGAGGGAGCAGGAGAGGCAGGTAACCAAGAGGTAGAAGAGGGAAAAGCAGAAAATCCAAGGCCTGGCTAGAGTAGGGATGGGGAGTGGGTGGAGACATTCACTAGCAACCAGAGAAGAGCAAACTCCAACCTAAGGCAGTGAAACCGATTGTGGCCCGGCCCCGTGGATTATCTTGGACAGGAATGGACAATAGGGCAGTTCAGGATGAGGCTCCATGAACAGAAGGACAGAGAGGGGGCCTTTGGGAGTGCGTATGTTGGCAGGACTATGGTACAGGTTCCTGCTGCACTGCCTGCCAGATGAGAGGTGGGGTGGGGGCCGGGAATGAGTTGGGGTGCGGGGCGAGCTCTGCAGTGATGCAAGGCCCTCACATGACCAGGAGCTAAGGTGAGCATAAGTCCCTCTTGTCCAGATCTTTTTTTCTGCAACACCCCCTTTTCCACGGAGGTGGGCTGGCATCGGTGCAGAGCAGGACAGGGAGGAACCCACTTCCCCAGAACAAAGCAGGGCTGTGTGGGCAACTGGACCAGGAACTGTGTTGGTGGATGTGGTGTAAAGGGGTGTGCCTGGAAGGGAAGGAGGGCAAAGACTGAAGCTGTTTTGGGCCTGTATGCTCTATGCCTCTTCAACCATTTGGAATAAAAAATGATGGGCCTGGGGATAGAAGGGAGGGCTGCAGAAGGATCAGAGAGGGGACATATAGACCTGGGGATAGCTTGGAAATAATCTTCTTTCATAGCCTGCCTATAGGGAAACGGTGGATAAACACAGAGATAAGCCTCAAGATGAAGAAGGAGGAGCTAAAACAAATTATGTATGGTTATGTAGAGGGCACACAGCAAATGAATGGAGCCTAAGAAACCATTAAAACAAGTTCCCTATTCCAATATGGTGGGCACTTCATGGCTGGGGATGAGGGTGAGACAGGACAGGAAGGAGGACTTTTTTTTTTTAAAGATTTTATTTATTTATTTGACAGAGAGAGAGTGCACACAAGCAGGGGGAGCAGCAGAGGGAGAGGGAAAAGCAGGCTCCCCACAGAGCAGGGGGAGCCCGATGTGAGACCCGATCCCAGGACCCTGGGACCATGACCTGAGCTGAAGGCAGCGCCACCCAGGCACCCAGGACAGGAAGGAGGACTTTTGAGATTTGAGGAGATGGGGTGGCTAATCTTGAAAGAGGCTTTTGTCTCATATACTGGCCTGTCCACCAAGCACTTCAGTACCACACACTCTCATCTGTCTGCAGGTCTAAATATCCATTAGGTATGTCTTAGTCCAAGAAGGGAAACTGGAGGAGGAACAGCTTGGAATTTGGGCAGGTTGGTATGACACAGTGATCTGGCCTGGAGCTCTAGGGTGAGGGGGTGAAAGAGTGGATATGGCTCAGGCAAGAATATGACTAGGACGCCACACTGCTCCTACTTGCCTCTCATTCAGTCAAGGGAAAGGACCGTAGAAAGGACTAAATGGGAAATTGTTGAGAGAGAATGAGGAAATCTACACTGGCCTTTCAGGTGTGGAAGAAAGGCAAGAACCTGAAGAGAGGAGCGAATTAGAGGAAGGGAGAGACCTTTGCACCCATTTCCTTGATTTGAGAAAGCTGACGGGTGCTGGAATGAACAACACACATTCAGCATTTCCTCCCTAACAGTAATTTAATTCAAAGAAGAAAAAGGAAAAACAAATCTTGACATGGAAAATACCTACCGAGCAAATGAAGAAAAGGTTGAATGTAGAGTTACCTTTGGAGGAAGGTGAAGGCCAGGAAGCTAGAGGAAATAATAGCCAGGAGCAAGCACCCCATAGACATGCCAGTAATGATGAAGGGACAGGAGGAGGAGGAGGAGATGAGATAGAAAGGTGCCTGGAAGAGATAAAAAGATTAAGAAATAAATTTAGAATAATGCCCTGGAAGCAAAGGCAGTCCAGGAAGCAGCCTTATCCCATGTAATGCTTTTTACCTTCAATTTTCTTTTTTCTTATATAATCAGAGCCCAACTTTTATTTTGGTTGCATTTTCTACATATCATTTTGCTCATCTTATTTTTAACCTTTTGATGGTACTGGTTTTAGATGTTCCTGCTGTTACCAATATCTCATTGGATTTTGTCTTGTGACTCTATGTGCAAGCCTGCATTTTAGTAGGGGATTTTTCCAAATTGTGTAGAAAAACAGTCGTTATATATTGTACTGTGAATAAAGTAGGTTAAAAATAGTGTATGTATGTGTAAATGTATATATATATATATAAATCTATCTGTATCTCCTATATCTGCATCTATACATATATATGATATCCCAATTTAAAATAAGTGTATTTATACTTTCCATATGTGCATAGAAAAAGTTGGAAAAAATGTACATGAAAAGCTTAATAATTCTGGTTCCTCTCTAAGGGGCAGACTCATGGGAAATTTTAATTTCCTTTTGTATTTTTTGCATATCTGTACTTTCTCATTTTTCCAAAAGAACATATTTTAGTTGTATCATAAAAATTAATGAAAAGTTTAAATAGAAATAAAATAAAAATTATCAAAATAACAGGTCAGTTTACTCATAAAGGCAGTATGGAACAGCTAACAAATACTTGAAAAAGAAATTTCACAGTATGATAAATTTCAAGTGACATTTGAATCCCTTAACTAGAAGTATCAGCTAGGCCGTTATTGCAGATATATTAATTTCATAATTAGTCCTTTATGTGCAATACAGGGAAAATGTCTCACAGGACTGCTGAGTAGATCAAATGAAGTAATAAGTATGAAACGAGTTGTTATGTTTGGCTACCTCCTTCACCCCACCCACATGCAGAACCTCAGCTCTTCAGATTTCCTTCAGTTATTAATAGAGGTACTAGCCAATGTTTATGACACCCAGGCTGAGAAACAAGACCAGACAGCAAAGGTGGTTGCCCACTCTTTCATTCTTCTGCTACTATGCCATCCACCGTGGGCCTTACCCTGGAAACTGCCATGTTCTGCTTCGCACTGCTGCAGATGTTTTGGAGTCCTCAAGATAGTACAAATCTGACTGATTTATCTGGAGTCCCTGGTGGACCAAATCGTCCTCTATCCCTCCATCAATGTAGAGAATATACTTCTTTCCACTTCAATATTACATTTACCCAGATGGGTACTGTCCCAGTGTTGCTTGGGCACACATGCAATACATACCCACGAAAAGTCATTTTCACTTACAGGTCCCCTCTTTCCATGATGAATGCACTGGGGGCTAGAGGCCTAGGAAAGGAGATAAATTTGAGCAACAGATATCGTGTTATAGTGAGGCTTGTTCCTTACCCTCCACTCTGACATACAAAGCCCTATTTGCCTGTTTCCTTAAGTTGAAACCATTCCATATTCTCCTATTAGGGCCACTCTTCCAAGTGTTAATAGAAAACCACAGGCCCCAAATAGAGTCATTTATGCTAGGCTAAGTCACCAAACTGGGGCTTAATACCTAACCTAATTGCAGTTTCCACCTTCCTCAGAAATATAGTAATGTAGTCTTAACTGGTCAGTCAGGAATTTTCTGGTCAGCAGCAGAGGTAATTTGTCACATGGGCCCTCTCCATCCCCCACAGAAAGATGAAGCAATCCACCTAATAAGACCCTCTGCTTTTACCCTTAAAGGACAGTGATGTTGCCTGAAACAATCCTTTCTTTTGCTAATAACTTCCTTGTCCCACCCTCCTGCTTAATAAAGCCGATTATATCTTCAAATTTACTAGGTTGAATTTTGTTTTTTAACAAAGGTCGGGAGACTTACCTGAATGTATTAATTATAGGGTGGCACAGGATTTAAATTCAAGCTAAAACATTAAACTCCTTACTCTATGCCACACAATCTATATCCTACAGATCAATCTATAAAGCTAAGTACTGTGTAAAGCATCATTATTTCCCCATATATTATGCTCAGTTAAAACAAAGATATCTTTTTTTATCCAGGCCTACTAACTACCTAGTGCCTAATAAGGTACATTACTACCTAGATACCTTACACATATTAAGCAAACACACCATCATGCAAGGCATATACCACTCTTTACCTTGGGATCAATTTCTTTTTTTTTAATTAAAAAAATTTTCTTAAAGATTTTATTTGTTTGATAGAGAGTGCAAGGAGCAGGAGTGCAGTGGGAGAGAGAGAAGCAGAGTCCCCGCTGAGCGGGGAGCCCAATGTGGGCTCAATCCCAGGACTCTGGGATCATGACCCGAGCCAAAGGCAGATGCTTAACTGACTGAACCCCCCCAGGCACCCTTTGGGATCAATTTTTTATTTATTTTATTTTTTAAAAAGAATTTATTTGAGAGAGAAAAAGAGAGAGAGAGAGCAAGCACGAGCAGGGGGAGGGGCAGAGGCAAAGGGAGAAGCAGACTCCCCACTGAGCAGGAAGCCTCACATGGGGCTTGATCCCAGAACCCTGGGATCATGACCAGAGCTGAAGGAGGATGCTTACCCGACTGAGTCACCCAGGCGCCCCCGGGATCAATTTTTTAAAATACCCTTTCCTTTGGTATTTGGCTCCTGTTCTTGTTAAGGAACTGAATGCTTACTGTAATTTCACTACTGCTTTTGCAAGTAGTGGAGCTACCATTATTGTAATAGTGGAGTATTGCAAGCGCTTTCTCCCTTTCATGCTGTTTGGTGGACCAGTGATAAATGTGCTTGAAAAATTCCTTTTTACAAAAACATGTGGAAAGGTAGTATATAATGCCAATTTATTGGTTCTCAGGGCTGTCCTGATTGAGTTCTTTTTTTTTTAAAGATTGTATTTATTTACTTGAGAGAGAGTGAACATAAACAGGGGGAAGGGCAGAGGGAGAAGCAAACTCCCCAGTGAGCAGGGAGAGGGGGTTGGGGGGAGGCTTGATCCCAGGACCCTGGGATCAGGCCCCGGAGGGAAAGGCAGCCGCTTAACCAACTAAGCCAGCCAGGTGCCCCTGTCCAGATTGAGTTCTTAAGAGCCAAGTGCTTCATATTTGTAACCTCCATTCTGTTTCTTCTATTTTGGGATCCGTTATGACCTTCATGCCTAGAGCAGTTGTTCCCAAACCTTATTGCACTCATCATAATCAACTAGCAAACTTGGAAACACAAATAGTTGGGCCCCACCCCCAGAGTTCTGATTCACTTGGGCTGGAGTGGGGCCTGAGAATCTGCATTTCTAACAAGTTCTTAGGAGATGCTGCTAGTCCAACAGTCACACTTTAAGAACTACTGGCCTTAAATAGTAATTGGTAGACACTCAATAAATTTGTTGAATAAATGAATTAAAAATAAATGGATCTTAACAATAACCATTTGAAATATATCAGAATTACCCTTTATAAATAGGGCAACTGAGGGACAAAAACGTTAAGTGAATTGTCTATAGGGGTCAAGGACAGGCTGCCCCAAAATGTGCCACTTTGGCATATTGATTATTTTATTTTATTTTTTAAAAGATTTTATTTTTAAGTAATCTCTACACCCAATGTGGGGCTCGAACTCACAACCTGAAATCAAGAATATCATGCTCTACTGACTGAGCCAGTCAGTTGCCCCTGCATTTTGATTATTTTATTCTATTTTTTTAAATTTAATTTAATTTTATTATGTTATGTTAGTCACCATACAGTACATCATTAGTTTTTGATGTAGTGGTCCATGATTCATTGTTTGCATATAACACCCAGTGCTCCATGCAGTACGTGCCCTCTTTAATACCCATCACCCGGCTAACCCATCCCCCACCGCCTCCCCTCTGGAACCCTCAATTTGTTCCTCAGAGTCCGTGGTTTCTCATGGTTCATCTCTCCCTCCGATTCCCCCCACTTCATTTTTCCTTTCCTTCTCCTAATGTCCTCCATGCTATTCCTTATGTTCCACAAATAAGTGAAACCATATGATAATTGACTTTGCTTGACTTATTTCACTTAGCATAATCTCTTCCAGTCCCATCCATGTGGATGTAAAAGTTGGGTATTCATCCTTTCTGATGGCTGAGTAATATTCCATTGTATATATGGACTACATCTTCTTTATCCATTCATCTGTGGAAGTACATCTTGGCTCTTTCCACAGTTTGGCTATTGTGGACATTGCTGCTATGAACACTGGGGTGCATATGGCCCTTCTTTTCACTACATCTGTCTTTGGGGTAAATACCCAGGAGTGCAATTTCTGGGTCATAGGGTAGCTCTATTTTTAATTTTTTGAGGCACCTCCACACTGTTTTCCAAAGTGGCTGTACCAACTTGCATTCCCACCCAACAGTTTAAGAGGGTGCCCCTTTCTCCACAACCTCTCCAACATTTGTTGTTTCTTGCCTTGTCAATTTTTGCCATTCTAACTGGTGTAAGGTGGTATCTCAATGTGGTTTTGATTTGAATTTCCTTGATGGCTAATGATGATGAACATTTTTTCATGTGTCTGTCAGCCATTTGTATGTCTTCTTTGGAGAAGTGTCTGTTCATGTCTTCTGCCCATTTTTTGACTTGATTTTTTGTGTTTTGGGTGTTGAGTTTCTTTATAGGTCTTGGATATCAGCCCTTTGTCTGTAGTGTCATTTGCAAATATCTTCTCCCATTCTGTGGGTTGCCTCTTTGTTTTGTTGACTGTTTCCTTTGCTGTGCAGGAGCTTTTTATCTTGGTGAAGTCCCAAAGGTTCATTTTTGCTTTTGTTTCGCTTGCCTTTGGAGATGTATCTTGAAAGAAGTTGCTGTGGCCGATGACAAAGAGGTTACTGCCTATGTTCTCCTCTAGGATTTTGATGGATTCTTGTCTCACATTGAGGTCTTTCATCCACTTTGAGTTTATCTTTGTGAATGGTGTTAGAGAATGGTCGAGTTTCATTCTTCTGCATGTGGCTGTCCAATTTTCCCAGGACCATTTATTGAAGAGACTGTCTTTTTCCCATTGCATATTTTTTCCTGCTTTGTCGAAGATTATTTGACCATAGAGTGG